ATTGGTGTATGTCAGCAGCTGTACGGACCTTAGCCTCGCCAGTGGTAAATTCCAGTGTTGTAAACATTTCTAGAAAGGTCACAGATCATAAGCTCTATGTGGGATTAACTCGAAATATCCGGCTTCCGCGCTAAGGGTATATAGACTTACAGCCACATTAATGGGGCATCGGTTTCTTGGAGAACAAGAATTTGAAATCGGCCTCTTTCACAACTGAAGCCTGATCATCGCCCTCTAATTGATTCTCCCATTCGCGTGGATTTGTTGCTCTTTCTCATGGCAAGTTTTAGTGATTTCGCCTATAAGGTCGAAAAGGATCGTAAGTTTTCCAGAAATTTTCTCTTGGAAAACTCCTAGTACCATTCTTTTGGGCCTTGCTTTGATCACTCTTTTGTAGGATTTTATAAAGTTTTGTTTTGTTGTTGGTATTTACTCTGTTCCAAGATAGAGGAAATTTTTTACGTGCTTAATCTTATGATTGCCAAATGGTGTCGAACGACTGGGAGAGATCTCATCCAAGCTTTTTGTGTTTTTTCTGGAATCGCATTCCAATGGGGAGTTCTAAGCCTTGAGCACAACCTAACTGTGCGATAATATCTCTATATAAATTTGACTGGAGAGCTCAAGATGAGCTCCAATCATACTAAGACCAGTTAAAAGATGCACAGCAAGCGGAAGCTCTAACCTTGAGAACGAAAGACAACATTTCACGGATCACGAATTGTAATTGTATTAACAATCATTTTAAGGAGCTTTCTGTCAGAGCCGCTACAGACTCTTATAAATTTTTAATTAAAGCTTTGTAATCGCTGTTGCGATTTTCGGCCAAGTTTTTCCTCTAGTCTCTGTATGGATCTAGTGTGTATTCTCAGTTGCCTCCGATTGGCCGATGCATTTTTATAAGGAGATTTCTTGTTTCATATCAGAAACACACTCAGAGGGGTTGATATGCCCTGTAAAGGAGCTACCGTATACCGTAGTATAGTTGGACTTAGCAGCCACTCGGTTGATACGGACGCTAGACCCTCGGCTATCAGATAATAATTATCTCTTTTAAGAGTGTTAAAGGTTACTGGGGATCACTTTCGAGTTCTGGTTCGGTTAGGTTGAACTGGCTGACCGCAATGGGGCTCATTTCGTCGATATCACATCCATAGTGCTGCCAGACAGACTTCATCCGACCAAGCTGCACCGCTACACTGCTTATTTTGTGTTTGGTGTGTTCTGCATGTTAAGCTGCGTCGTCTTTTTCCTAAAGATGTAAGCGCTAACTCCCCACTTCTATAACAGAGCTCAAACGTCGGAGACATCCGGTTGATGTTCGAGTTCAAACCCATTGGTATAGGCCAATCAAGATTCGGAAACTTTTTGAGTTATTAATTTTACTTTTTTGTTTTTTGGCCATCACCACTGTTTCGCTTGAGCTTGTGGTCTATTGAATGCCCTCTCTGCCACCACAATTACCTCCTCAAGCCATAAATACACTTTAGATCAAATCTAAATCGCGACGAAAGGTGTTAATGATACAACCATCCATCTCATTGCTTGTTACTGTTGCTACTGATGTTGTTGTTTTTTGTTGAATGTGACATTTTTTTCCGTTGCTGTTGTTGTTTGCTAACTAAACTAAGGTGTTAGCCACTTGTATCCTGTCGCAAAGCGGGCATTTAACATTCAACCAATTTGAGCTCGCCTTAATTCTGACTCGACCCTCCGCCCGCCGCCTGTCGGTGTGGTGGTGTAAACAGTAGAGGGTACAGAGAGTCCCTCGGACGCTTTGTAGCACCAATTCTGGCGTGCGCGCCGCCTCGTCGCTGTAGTCTGTTAATAGTGCGCAGCAACACGTACGAAGACATTCCAATCAAAATCAAAAGGCTCATCAAAAGAAGCGAAAAAATGAAGAAATCGAAAGGCAATTTAGAGACATTTGAAATGTTGAATTGTATTTTATGCATGTGGTTTGTATGTATGTATAGTATGTATTTAAGGAGCGGGTGAAGAAATCTAAAGAATTCTCTTCATACAAATGAAAAGCAAACAAAAAAAAGAAAAAATTGTTTGTATTTTGAGCTGAAAAAGTTTGACAATGAGACGTCCACTCGCGGTGCATACACTCGCTTACCTAAATACACACATTCATACATACATGTACACACTCAGGCGAGTGCACTTTTATTGGCGTTTTATCCGCGCCGCACTATTTTTAAGTGCCTCATTGTCGCTTCAACGTCGTATTACGAAATCCTTTTAAGGCCCACAACGCGACGCAGCTCAACAGCCGTACCCTGCGCTTCATCCGACACAGCTCATCAGCACCAATGTCTCTTCGGTGGCGGCGGTGGTGGTGGCGTCGGCGGCGTCGTCGTCGTATTTATTCATACGCAGCTTCTTCTGAACATCTTACACCTTCCACTGACCATTAAACATTTTTCAAGTTGAGACTGAACTCAGCTGTGTATATATGTTATTGTTATTAGTGTTGTTGCTGTAATTGTGCCGCAGGTGTTTTTATGCCTTAATCGATTCTTTCTTTTCTTTTTTTTTTTTTGTTTTTTGTTTTCCTTTTTTTTTTTGTTACTTCTTTTCATTTCGATTTTTATATTCTTTAATTTCGTTTCTTTCTTTCTTCATTTCGTCGATTGAATTAATTTTTACTTCGTTTTGTTGAAATTTTATGACCTTTTTTGTGTGGCTGCCAAGCGACTCGCATCACACCGCCACTGCCGCCGCCGCTGCCTCCGCCAGGTTGACTACTCGGCTAACAACAGCAGTTGTTGTTGGTGTAGCTACTCTTGTCCGTGGCTGCTAATGAGATAAGCCGCGCTCGCTGCTTGTCCGTTTTCGGCGGCTCTGGGGCTCTTGCAGATCGGCTGGTTGGCTGGGCTTCTGGTCGTCTGCCGTTCGCTCGGTGTGAAATTGCGCTAAGTGCAAGAACATTATCCCTTTGAAATTTTTGTAGCATTGATTTCTGACTTTAAGCTGGAGATATGGCATTTTTTCAAAAAAAAAAAAAAATAAAAGAATGAAAATCCCATCCGAAACAATAAACAATTGCAAGACGCAGCAAAAGGAATCTCAAAGGTTTATTGAAGACGACAGGAGTATTCGGCGCGTATGCGTTAATGAATTGGACGAATCTCAGTTACCTACTTACGTATATATGCATGTAGTATGTACATACGTAGAAGCGGATGTAAGCATCCGCTGTCTTCATTGTGTTCATTGCAGCAAGCTCCACGTCGCCAATTGTATCTTAGACTACCAAGTCAAAGTTAGCACCAACATACAATAAAAATCATGAGCTGGAGTATAACTGACAACTGGTCAGTCGGATTAGGTGGACTTCTAGTTTCATGTCTTCCACCAGGCTAGTTTGGTATCTAAAAATATGCATTTATACTATATCGAGGCTAGTGAGTCGCCTGATCTTTTCCAATCTTCCGCTCTTCACAGACTTTTGTTGATCTTTAATCAGTCTCCTCCGACTATTGAGAACACCTTCTGGACGAAACCCGGATTTTAATCAACCGAATTGGCAGGCTTCGAGAATTAATAGGTGATCTCTCACTGAATGATTGGATGCTCCCAACTTAGAAGCATGGAGTTGCAAACAGCAAAGCGTGGGTAGCCTACCTGTATCCTTCGTCTCATGCGCTTTCGCATAAACCAAGTACGAGGTTTCTCAAACGTACACCAGGCAAATTCGATAGATGTTATCAGAATCACGTTATTCCGCACCTGAAGCGACCTCGAGTTAAGGTAATTAGTATAATTTTTGATTGAAAACTGCTTATCTCCTTTCCATGCGAGCTTACTCCGCTACACAGTTCGCTATTAGTGAGCACAAATTGCTGCATTACCGAATTTAATTGGGCAACAAATCCTGATTGTGTGGTTTTAAAATGATTTCTTAACTCCCAATAGCAATTTTTAGAAAACCCCTCACTCTCTTCTCTTTTGTCGATGTCAGCACAGTATCCACGCTTCTCCCTCGCCAACGACAACGTGGCTCAAGTGTATTGGTCTGGCCGTTGCCACTATTCACGATATCACCTTCTCCCTCCCATTACCTGATCTGAGGTGGTGATGAAGAGAAGGTGAACTCTGTCTTCGGCCGATTCCAAAAATAAGTCCATTCGAAGAGTCGCCTTGCTGGAATATCCCCCTCTGATCTCTACAAATCTCTCTCAATATTTCTCTGCAAAAATAATCAAATTCCTATCTTTTAACTACCTGCGAAATAAACATATTTGCTGTTGTTCTAATATCAAACACCGTCAGCCGTTTGTACTTCCTTCTTCTCAAACTGATTCAAGATCTTAGTTTGGCTTACTTGCAGCAATTAATTTACGCCGTGTAAATGCAAATTGCGATAGTTGGAAAACATACATACATACCGAGTACTGCTGTCAGGTTCTTAAGCTACAACAACAGCAACGATAGTGGCGTGTACTGTTGGTGTGAAGTGCCTCCACCGCAATATATATTGTACGTTGCGTAGTGCAAGTTAACGAGACCTTCCACAGTGTAGCATTATCGACACCTTATCGCGCCAAATGACAAGTTGCATGCGCACTTGCAACTTATTGTACATTCAATTGGTTTAATATATGAATGTAGGTATGTAAGATACATGCGGACAAAGGCTGTCGTAAAGTAGAGTGTGTGGTATGGTTGCCAAGTATGGAAGAAAATGTTATATATAATAAATATGTATTTATTCAAACAATCTATTTTCCTGTGCGTTTTGATGATTTAAAATGTCAATTCAGAGTTTTCGGAGTATTTCGGAGTTGTTTCGGACTAATTCGGAGTAGCAGAAAAACGTTTAAAATGTGTTTGAAGGGTGCTTAATTACGTAGATGACCTCTTAGCTTATATTTCCGTGGCTTGGACTACTTTGGAGTACGCATCCTTTCATTTTCTATTTTAAGCACTATTTGTACATAAAATTTTTACGAAATACAAATTTTTCCAATAAATTTTTTTTATTATTATAGACTCTTTGTTTGGAGTAAAGCAAACATACGAAATAACTCGTAGTATGGATTACTGATCTGCTAATGGTAAGTGTTAGAAGTAACTTAAAACATTTATATATCTAATATTTATTTTGCTTTGTGCTTAAGTATGTCGATCGGATTCTTTCGGAGTTTCTCTGAACGAAAGTTGAAAGCTTTTAAGCTACCAAAAATGTATTCAGAATATTTAACTCCAATAATTGAGTTAAAAAAAAATGTTAGGACTGATTCGGAGTAACCATACATATATGCATTTTTTATATTTCAACTAAACAGTTATTTTGGGAAAATATAAAATTTGTGTTCTGACGCAACAATTTGCCTTGATTATTTAACGTGAAACTTATTTCCGAGTCAACTGAATCATTCGTGCTTTTACAGTGGTATAAAGAAAAGTTCGAGAACATAAAAAGATTATCAAAATTATAAAGATTATCAAAAAATTAACGGTTAAAAAAAAATATAAATCCACAAACAATTTAAAAACATTTCAGATGTTATACAAACATGCATGCATTAATTTGACGAATTTTCGGAGTAATCCAAAAACATTATTCAATTTTTTTTTAAGTACTTACATCATTTTCTACAAACTTTTATTTATTTTCATCTTTCGGAGTTTTTTCGGACTAATTCGGAGTAAACTCAAGGTGTAACACTAGTTGTTAAATATTTGTTTTTCATATTCTTCCCACATTTTCGACTATTTCAAACACATTTCCATCTAAAAATTCACTCCATGCAAAAAGTAACTTAACTTTAAAGGGCTTCCTGGCAACCCTGACAACCACAAAATAAATCGAGAAGGTGTGCTAGTTATAACACGCCAAGCACACATGCTCACGCAAACGTACGCCTCTCCCTCTACAGCACATTTCGCGAATGATGACGACAAACCGCTGCCAATTGCCGCAAAACCACCATAAAATGCCGCAAATGCTACAACTCGCCACGACCGACCACCGACCACCGACCACCGACCACCGTAGTTATTATCGCCTTGCAACAGATGTGTTTGTCGTATAAGTGTGTATGTACATATGTATTGTCGATGAAAGACCACGAACCGAATGACTGGGGCTGGCTTAGGTAGTAAAAGCGGTCGCGGCACCGCCGTCGTTATCAACAGACAGCAGTAAGTATGTAGTAACCTGCAGGCTAACCGGCAGGTTGTTGCAAATGACACATTCCACCGCATACCAATGCAATCAGCGGCTGACGGCAGACGGCAGACGGCAGACAGCAACAGACAGTCGTCGACGATGAAACGACGAGAAAAGACAACCGACGCACTACAAACGGCACTAAACGAGCAACGAGCAACGAGCCAACAAACTCGTAGGCCATACGCATGGCTAAAGTGTATTCAACACACGGCGGCAAAAAGTGAGTGCAACTGGCGATGGTGATCTCTGGTACGGCAGCAACCACTGTGGGTAGCACGTCCCTGACGGCTGCTGGTGGTCGGCTGGTTGACTAGTTTCCCTGGCACGCTGCATGTCTGACTTCTTGACTTGGTTTCTACTCTACACATTTATTTACATATATATGTATTTGATAGGTAGGCATTTGTTGTTGTTATTGCAACATTTGCATGCTGCTGATGAACAGCTTTCATGCTCATCATTTTTAGGCTGCTGCGGCTGCTACTTTATTATTGTTGTGGCACCTTTTTCGACTACCTTCTTCTCGGTATTTTTTTGGTTCAGCTTTCATTTATTTGGTCTTTATGCTCGCATCTTCTTTACCTTTACCGCCACAACAGATACTAAGGTGCGCAGCAATGATCATTTATATGGGAATTTATCTTTTTCTTTGTCTTCGATAGCGTTTTCTTCAAAAAAAATCATTCAAGGAAAGATGACGCTATTCCTTAACTCGGACCTTTACGAAATTAAGTTCGCCGTCATGAAGGCGAAGCTAACTGGAAAACTCTGCCACACAGGCATATGGGATAGAAAAAAGTATCGAGTCTACAGTGAAGAATGGCTAAGAAAAAAGGGTCCACCCTCTAGCTGAGATGTTCGACCATGATGTCTCCATCTCTTACCTCGTATTTGGTCTTCGTTGAACCCCAGTGAAGTTCAGATTTTTCCTCAAAGGAAGATGACTCCTCTCTTTGCGCTAAAACTTTAACAAACTTATTTCAGCCCTGTATGTGTTTGGAAAGTCTCAAGTCGACGGGTTGGATTTGATTGTGAAACCAATTTTCACTGTGATATTTGGCTAGTCCTCTCAACATTAGTAGGATCGCTAACACGATGCTTCCTATTTAATGTGATCCGCGAGAATCAAACCCCATTAAAACTGAAAATATCACTCCAAGATGTGACTCCAATCTTCACCAAAAGCATTTCATCCTTATATTTTCGTTTAGATAACCCTTTCCCCCATGACATATATGAAGAAAGATCTCGTAAAAGACGTTTTCTCTCACCTTGGATTGGAGCGCGGCTTATATAAGAAAAGTTTTTGACAACAATGCTACCAACTTTTACTTAATACCTTCCGCCACCATTATTATTTCAGCGCGCACCGAGCCTTGATTAAAGACCCTTAAAACTCTTTCCGGGGCTCTCCTCCTTACCATAAATTCTGAATCCCTTCGTCATGAGCTTTTGCTCCGCCGGGTATCGTTTCTGTTTTTGACCATGAACCGAACGTTAAAAACCTCAAACTCTTCCCTCTCTCGGTGGATGCTACTTATTATACTCGTCATCTGAGTCATCCACATGCACTACCGCTCTGGGGCACATTGCATGTCTGGTGTCAACCGAAAGGTGTGTGCGCCGCTACATTACAAACTACTCTCATGCGTATGTATGTATGTATGTATGTATATACGAGTCAAGTGTTTGTGGCAGGCCACATGCTGTTGCTGCTGCGTCAACTGCTCCTCCACACGGTTGCTACGCTATGCACTTGTGTCGTTTGACTGACTACTATTTGACTACGTTTTGACAACATTTTTGGCTCACTTTGTGGATCATCTGCTGTGTGTCTGTCTGCTTGTCTCGGGTATTCAGCGGCCTGCTGCTCCATACTACTATGTCTATGTCTTCTACTCTCTGCGCCACGAAATTGATAACTCCTGCGTGCGGTCACTTTTGTCAGGTGCTTTCATTTCATTTCAATTTCAGTTGCTTAATTCCGTTTTTGAGCGAATTTTTCGTGTAATTTTTTTCCATAAAATTTGTCTTCATTTTTTTCCTTCATCTTCTCTGTGGTCGTTGACGGGGTGTGTCGTTATTTAGAATTTCTGTGACGAGGACACATTTTTGAAATTTTGTAAATTAATTTGCTCGCACTCAAAAGGTGTGTGTGCCTCGTGACGACTGGACCCACAGTTGAACAACGAGAACATCAAAAATGTCTCTCGGTCAGTTGAGTCAGTTAAAATGCACTTTCCGCACGGCTTGCATACATCGCGCACCTGATCTACCCAGTAATCGTATTGACTGTCGCAGCGGATAGCAGAACAGCAAGCATAAAAACTGCTACACTACTCATTTGCTGATTGAAATTGTTGGTATGTTTTACATACATGCATACGTACATATATTTTTTGACATTTTTTATAAATTTCACTTTACTTCACTGCATTTTTATGCCATCTTTTGTTTATTTTTTCGGAATTTTTTGCTCTCCACCACTTTTGCTTTCCCTCTGATCGTCTTTTCCCCTTTTATTTATTTTATTTTATTTCAATTTATTTTTATTTTTTGCTTAATTGGCGCTGGCATTTTTTTTTTCGGCTGATGCGGTTGTAAATAATTATTTGTCTCCTCTTTTAATGGACTTTAAAATGTGCAATTTATTTTTGTTGCACTTTTCTTATTTAATTTTGTGTAATATTTTTTATTTTTTCCACACCAGCTGTTTTAAAATATTCGCAAAAAATTGCCGGTCTTGCATGTTGGTGCATGCCTTCCATTTGTTTGTGTTCTGCTCATTCACATTCCGTTAGCTGTCACAATCAGCCATTGCTGGACTTGTCCGTACTCACCTTACTCACTCACCTTAGTTTACTTGCTGCTCTGTCGGTGATGTTTGAGTAAATGGCCAGTGTAATGTGACAAATGGTCGGCGTGTTTGGTCACTCACTCGTTCATTCGCTCGTTCGTGCATTGGAATATGCAGAAAATATGAAATAATTGCCAAATTGACAGCTTTGCTGCATATGCCCGTTTATTATTCGTATTATCAAGTGTCTGTCGGTAAGATGTTAAATATTTTTGTGTCATAACTACATTTTTATGTATGTATGTACATACATTGTATTCGAATTGCTGGAGGCATTTCTTTTGTCGGTGGCATTCATTGTTTCTTCTCGATGATCATATCATTTTATGAAGTCTAAGGAAAATTTTTTTCCTGCCAGTAATTGGTATGTGCTCTCAGTAATTCAAAGTTATTTGGCAGATTTTTGATTTTTCGTCATCTTTTAATTTAAGTTGGCGTGTATAAATATCGAGGAGCACATGCTCCGTTTATTTTGCAAAAAAAATAAAAGCAAAGTATTTCGCAGTGTAAAGCAGTGAGAATGTGAAAAATATAAAGCCTAAGAGTTATGAAAATAATTTTTGAATCGTACTTTTCTTGGTCAAAATGACAGTGGCCTACCTTGGTCCAAAAAGTAGCCATCTCTACGCAGCTATGCTTGAATTTGGAGTTCTCCCAAATGTTGTATTATACAAATATTTGATGCCTTGCAACCGCTGAAACGATTTTCGGCCGAGCTTCACCACCTATTTGTTGTGTGCATCTTTTTTTTACAACAAAATGGGGAGACTTATATTTCAGTTTATTCTAATCCACCTCTGAACGCCCGATGGATTTTTAAGAGAACCTTTATATTTTTATTTCATATCAGAAATACACTTGAAGGGCTTGGCACTCCATTCCATTTCGAGGGGCGACCACAATGAGAAAAATTAATTTTCTATAATTTTGATTGTTGGTGGGACCAGAAACCGAACCCTAGCCATTCGATTGTTAGTAGGCAATACTAACCTTTCGAACACTGCGGTCGTCACTCGGCTATT